TCAGCACAGATTCATGCTTCAGGAAATAGGCCGCTGCATCGCATAAAAAATGAAGCATTAAAACGCAGAGGTCGGCAAAGCGTTGTTTATGAACGCCTTCCCTTGTGTGCTGGATTTTATTTGAGAAGGCCAGGGTGATTTCTTCGATGAGGATGTTCTAAACTATAGCCTAGTTTAACGTACTTTATTGTTAGGTATAGGTTGATGTTGGCGCCGTAGAGTGTCTCTATGCCAGCGACGGTCCCATATCGCGAATTCCATCCTTGAAGGACCTTTAAAGCGACCTGAAACACTCGTGCTGTAATCACGTGTCGGCCGACCTGCGTCTGCTGTGTTTTTGATATGTCAACGTTGTAATTAATCGATGAAAACACCCATAAATTTCTCATTAGATGTGCTCGAAAAATAAAAATTGCCGCAGCGCAACCAGTATCAGCATTTGATACGGAAAGAGATACGATATAGTGGGATATTGGTTTGCTTTACGTAGCGTTCTTGCGGTATGGCGAACATACGCAGATGCGCGCGCCACGCATTCCCTTATCTTGTCTAATGTCACCATACCTGTCAAAATACGGTGCTGATGCTTACCATAAGTAGCATATACTTGTGTTTCCGCGGCAACAGAGTAAACAAAGTGCGACACACACATTTCAACCCACCACGACGTGGTCCCGTGTATTAGTAGGACACCCAGTCCGTTGAGTGATGGGCAGATTTATACTTGAAGATAAGATAGATTAAGATACACAGAATTAGGGTTATCTGCGACCATTAGGCATATGATTCAGTTATAGGGGTATAGGGCCAAACTTTACGAAAAACTCTTAACCCTACTCTAACTGGTAACACTAATTCTACCGCAACCACAACATAGTCTTAACACTAATCCTACTCTAAACCACTCATATTTAGCCATTAACACTAATCCTACCCTAACCACAACATAGCATCAACACTAATCCTACCCTAACCACAACATAGCATTAACACTAATCCTACCGTAATCCTAACCCTTACCCGAAGCCTTAACCCTAACCACAACATAGCATTAACACTAATACTACCCTAATCCTAACCCCTTACCGAAGCCCTACCGTAACCCAACAACCCTAATCCGTGGCCATAAACATACTCTAAAGACGAACTCTAACCCTAACGTTCGATCTAACTCCCAAGCCATTTCTACAGCCGTGATATCTAACACACAGCGTGATCTAACTCAGCAAGGTACCTCAGTTGGATGACTGCGCATGTTTTGCCAGCCTGGCAGCAAGCAGCCTGTGTTTACCGCTATGTTTTGTTACTTTGCATGTCATGTTATGTTTTTTACCGGACGAATATGTATATCTTTACGTTATGCTAATGTTTAGCATTTTACCTGCGTCCGCTGGCTCTGTATCGATTCAGATAGATCTCGGAACAGTAGCATCCTCACCACTTCCTCACTTGTCCTGGCACGCGACACACGGGCGACCGACTTGCCACTCCGGCGTGGTCTGATCGCCGCCCACGCCCTCTTGTGTCCGCGGGGTGCCCGCTCGTCGCTGCTGTCGGCGCGCTGCCCCGTGCCTTCCCCCGTGAGGCAGGTCCCTCTTTCGGTCTGTGCGGTTCCTACGATGGAGTCGGCTGCCCCTGAGGCGTTCGAGCGGCGTATGGAATGTTGGCGTTTCGTGCCAGATGTTTGCCTGTTGCTGCTTTGGATGACGTCTGCCGGTGCAGGGCAGCGCCGAGGGCGTGCAGGGCTGATCTCGTCCCACTCCTCTTCCTGCTCACAGACATGTAGACGCAGTTTCCTGGTCGCCGCCGACAAGCCATCGTCATGTTAGCGTGTGTGATTATTCTGTGTGTATTAGTCACGGGACTGATGCTCTTTTTCGCCTATCTTTCGCCACCCGCCTTTTCTCTTTCCTCTATCAACCTCTATCTGTTTATATGCACCCTTTTTTCTCGTTACTCTCTTTCTCTCTCTCTCTCTCTCTCTTATATATATATATATATATATATATATCATATATATATATATATATATATATATATATATATATATATGCTACTGATCTCTATTATATTAACTATATATAATATTATGTTAATATAGATCTCTATATATTAACTATATATAATATATGTTAATATAGATGTCTATAATATATTAACTATATTTAGTGCATCACGTGATAAATCGTTGAAATCCCATTGGATAACGCAGCAGGCACTATGAAGCAATAGTGCCCGCCTGAGCGGGCACTATTGCTTGCGCGACGCATTGTTATTATAACGCATTGTGTTCCCGCCACGAATCTCCTGCGTCTGGGCGCCACGCGAGAGTTTCGAACGGCGGTTGTGTTTGTGTCGAACGTTTTGTTACATCGAATGCACCGGCAAATTAGGGAGTATAAAGAAGGTATATAAGCATGAAAAGTAGATTGCATAGTCATGTGATGCACTAAAAACTGCGTTAATTATGATAGAGATGATGAATTTGCACTGTCCCCGTCGAGGCATGAATCACTCACTCCACGCTTCGCCCAAACGCAGACCTAACATAGTGACACATTACTAGTTGTTGAGCGATTTTGGGGAGAAATCGGAGGCTCGATATGCGATTCAGTACCGTGAATGTTTGCCTGACCTTGGCTTAACACGTGATAGAATTATGGCGAGTACGAAGAGAAAAACAAATGTGTCATGTGTCAGCCGCATAGAACTTCACGAATGCAGCGCATATAAATCACGCGCCACCAAGGAAGCTCTCGCCCGCACGTTGTTGTTATAGAATAATTCGATTTCTTGCTCTCTTTCTCTTTCTATTTTTGTCGTTTTTGTCTTTATTCTTCTCTTTCACTTTATGTCTATATTATCCCGTTTTTCCCACTCTTTCCGTAGGTTGGAACATGTGCTACTACATGTTATCCCGTGGGGAAAACCTACATTTTACTTAAGTAACTTTATTTAGCAGGCGATTTAATTATGGTGGGTACTGAGGACAAAAAGCGTAATGCGTCAGCAGTATAGTATCTATAGAGCTTCACGAATATTAAGGATAATCAAGTTAATAAATGTCGGTGACGTCCGCCGTCTGTATAGTTGTTAAACTCGATTGTTTACCTTCTCATACTTTTTCTCTTTCTCTTTTTTTTTCTCTTTCTCTCTCCCCCTTTCTCTCTCTCTCTCTTTCATTTTTTCTTTCTTTTTTCACTATTTTTACCAATTTTTTGCTTTCTTTCCTCCGCATAGGTTCGTACACGCGCCACGACGTGGTACCATGAGAATCTCTCATGCAGATGCTATGATTAATTGAATTACCCTCTACAATCTCTCTCTCTCTCTCTCTCTCTCTCCGTCTCTTCGCACAGGTTCGTACATGTGTCACGACATGTTGCCCTGGGACTGCCGAGTCAGCTTCATCGTCAGACACGACATGCGCAGACGCTTCGAGGACGCCCTGCTGCCCTTCTCACCAGAGTTCATTATCGCCAGCGCCGACAACAACGACGTCGGCATGACGTTCCAGTCAGGGGCGTCGCTCCTGCGCGCAGCCGACGACGACGAACGCGCATCGGCGTACATCGGCGTCAACTTCTACAAGCAGAACGCGAGTCACGTGTGGGAGTACGCCGCCAGGGGGCGCGCGCTTCGCAGCTATTCCGTACACACCGTGCTGCCGCTGCATCGGCGGCCGTTCGGCCCGCTGGCGCTGCCCGCGCCGCGGGACACGCGCGACTTCATACAGCGCTCTATCGCGCATGCGCGCTTCAACTGCGAGAGGGCCGAGTGGAGAGCGCGTGACGCTAACCACAGTGTCGCTGTGAGCTGCGGCGAAGTGGGACAGCACTACGGCTGGGTGCACAGGCGACGCGAGCCCGGGGGCTGGGGCCTGGTCGAGACGCTGATGGTAGCCGATAGGGTGAGCCACCGGTGTGTCGTCGACGAGCCGTCGTCGGCGGTGACGACGAAGCCGTTCGACTTACAGACTTGTGACGAGTGGCGGGCGGCCAACCCTGAGCGGACATCTCGCGATTGCTCGCGAGACTAACCGAGATTTACCTGCAGACGCGCGCCGGGATGCACATGCTCCATTAAAGAGATTTTATTTTTATTGATTGATTGCTGATTGAGATTTGATTGATGCGGGGTGCGTGCGTGCGTGCGTGCGGGCGTGCGTGCGTGCGTGCGTGCGTGCGTGCGTGCGTGCGTGTGTGTGTGTATTATATAATATAATATGTACACATATTATGTCATCTGCTTGCGACGTAGGGCGAGTAGGTTCCGGCCGGGAGCGATAGCTAAACTTCAGTGGAAGAGAAAACACGTGCGGTGCATGGTGGCGTCTCCTCGCCTCGCTATAGCGGAGGGGACTAACAATCGGCTTGTAACTCATGGTGCCGTCCTAGTCCCGCTCTGGGCGTGGAGTAATGACGGCAGTAGATAGGACGGTAGACGGAACGATGAAGCCTATATGGTTTCTTTGCCGCACAGTGCTAGATGTATAAGCACTGGCGCATATGGCGAACGTAATCGGATCTCCTTTAAACATGCGACCAAACAGAAGATAGGTGCAAACGCCGCTGCGCTAATGGGGTTTCTATGTATTTACGAGATAATTCGGCTCGTAAGGTGAGACCTGCGCCGGATCTCAGAGCCGTTCAAATGAGAGACGGAAAAGCTGTCAGATTCTCATAAACGTTTTACGTGTCTACCCTAATCCTAACCCTTACCCGAAGCCCTACCGTAACCCACAACCCTAATCCTGGCCATAAACATAACTCTAAACGAACTCTAACCCTAACGTGATTCTAACTCCAGCATTCTAAGCGTGATTCTAACCACAGCGTGATTCTAACTCCAGCAAGGTGCCTCCAGTGATGACTGCGCATGTTTTGCAGCTTGGCAGGCAAGCAGCCTGTGTTACCCTATGTTTTGTTATGTCATGTCATGTCATGTTATGTTACGATACGATATGTTATCTTTACGTTATGTAATGTTAGCATTGTTACCTGCGTCCGCTGGCTCTGTATCGATTCAGATAGATCTCGAACAGCAGATCCTCCACCATCCTCACTTGGTCCTGGCCACGCGACAACGGCGACCGACTGCCACTCCGGCCGGTCTGATCGCCGCCCACGCCCTCTTGTGGCGGGGTGCCGTCGTCGCTGCTGTCGGCGCGCTGCCCCGTACCGTATTCCCCCGTGTAGGCAGGTCCCTCTTTCGTCTGTGCGGTCGCTACGAGAGTCGCTGCCGTGAGGCGTTCGAGCGGGTATGGAAGTGTTGGCGTTGTGCAGTGTTGCTGTTGCTGCTGTTGTGGATCGTCTGCGGTGCAGGCAGCGCCGGATGCGTGCAGGCTGATCTCGTCCCACTCCTCTTCCTGCTCACAGACATGTGAGACGCAGTTCTGGTCGCCGCGACAAGCCATCGTCATTGTAGCGTGTGTATATGTGTGTGTATATCACGCTGATGCTTCTTTTTCGCTATCTTTCGCACCCGCCTTTCTCTTTCTCTATCAACCTCTATCTGTTTATATGTCACCTTTTCTCTATCTCTTTCTCTCTCTTTATATATAGCTTGTAAGCA